GCTTTCGTATGTGACTTTCATTCAGGAAGAGGACTCAAGACACATTATTTACATATAATGCATTTGAGGAAACTGGACGCACTTTGGGTTTGCTAGTTACAGCACTGGGCTTTCTAAGTGAAAGTTAACTGCTTGTTAATATTAGTCTTGTATTAAATTATCCAGGTAATTTGAACTAGTTTCACTTTTTGTTTTCCTACTTCATAATCGTACATTTTTCCTATAATTATTTTTTAAGATAATTTTCATGTAAAATATTTTTGAGCTAGCTAAGATTCATCTTCCTTGTATCCACTTGGGTCTTTGTTCTCAAAAGGCACACACTACACATATACTTTCAGCATACAGAGAATGACCACTGAGAGTTGGCATGCTTTTAGTTAGGTATGTACGTAACTGAGGTACAAGTTTCAAATTCACGTTTTGCCACTAAGACAAGAAAAAGCTGAAAACCCTGAATTGTTTGTGTCCTGAAGTATTCAGACTTTTCTGTCAGAGCTGTAACAATCACTGACTGCTAGAGATAACTATTACCATGGCTCGCATTAATAAAATCTCGGATTTCTTTGTTTGACAGTAGTTCTATGATTGCCTCTAAATGGTTAAGCACACTATGATACATATATATTAAGGAATATAAAAAAAATTAAAAGGTCAGATCCAACATGATGCAGCTGGAGAATGATGCAAAGAAAAAATATTGGAAAATTAAGGACAAAATTATATGAAAGATCACTCATTTACATAGAACAGCCTGGGTGCTATTAGAAATGTGGCAACGAGTGAGGAAAATAGATCATCTACCATCTGCAGACAATTAAACTCAAAACTGCTGCTGCATAATATTTTGAAATATCCCTCTGCAACACTGAAATGCAGTGTTGATAGTAGCTGCTAGAGTACTGTTGCTATTGGATTTAAAATATTATAATGTCCTTTTCTCTCTCCTAATTAATGAAAGCCTTCCAATATTGCAAAATTAGAACAATGATGTCTCCCTCTTGAGAACTGGATTCCTAGGAGATAACCAAGATGTTTCCATCCAGACAGTGTTATAAGTCAAATCAGGAAATATAGTCTTAATATAAATCATAAAACACCACAAAGTTGATAGCAATAAACTTGGAGGAGTTTTGGAATGTTTTCAACTTTGTCTGCTGAGATTTTACAGTCATTTAGCTTGAAGAAAGAGTAGGTATATGAAAGCCGTATTTCAAGCAAAATATGACAACCTTTATTACCACTGGTACAAAAATCTCTTCCTGATTTTTGTTTGTTTGTTTGTTTAATTATCTTGTCAAAAATAATGGGAGTGGAAACCCTGCAGTCTCCACATTTCCACATACGCCAAATAGTCACGGAGGTCCTAGAAGTCTTTACAGAAAAATAAGATCAGAAGACTGCATCACAAGAATATGCTGTCTAATCCTTCGCCTCTCAAAGTCAGTGGCAAAGGTTCCCTTTGACTTCAGCAGAAGAAGAACTTTCAGCTCTACAAAACCCAATATTCTGTTCCTAAATTACACTTACAGTCATTGTAATCAGGATTTTTATATGATCTCTAAAAGAACACATTTAATAGAGGTTTCATTTGTAAAAATGTAATGGTCATAAACCAAGAGCAGTTTTTAAAATGCTACAAATTGAGGTTGTTTAAACTTTGATGGGATTAGAAAGTATTATCCGGCTACTGACCCTACACATATATTTGACTCAGTAGACTCAGGCTGTACTTTTCTAGTTGTACTTTTCTAACATGAAGCTTGTCAATATGATAATAGACTACCTGGTGCACTTTGGCTCTGATCCAGCACAGCTTAGTGTGTGCCAGTTCAGCACAGGCTTGACAGTAAGCACATACATCATTCCTGTTGACATCAACTGGAGTGAAAAGTGAAGTACCTAAAGGGTTCCGCTGGATCTGGGGCAAGAATGTTCTGTATCTTTATAGTATACTTAATTATTTTTAACAAAAAATACAAAAGCATACAGTGGCCATAGAATGAATACTGCAAAATCCAGTGATAAAACTGAATCTCAATAATCTTGAGAAGGTCTCAAGGGCACCAACAACTTTTAGATTACCTGGAGTTGGGATAATTAAAGGAAATACAGCTAGCAAATGATATAGCTATGCTCATTCCAGGTTCTGAACTCCCATATTGGTCCTAAGGGAAGACTTCAATCAGGCTAACCACACACCCTTAATATAGACAAGGAGGTGGCTTGGCCAAGTTCACCTGGCTCAGTGGAGCAGCTTGGAGGTTGCCTTGGGTGACCTGGATCCCAGGAACGGCTGCTGATGCGCTTGGTGCAATCCTCAAATTACATGGGAACGGAATTGCAGAAGCTTCCAAGAAATAAGAGGACAGCTGGCTGCATTGTCAGGTTTGTTTTACAGGGCATAGTTTATGGCACAGGCCTTTATCCAGTAAAATACTTATATGTCTACTTTAAGAGAGAATAGTTGCAATGTAGTAAGTGAAATTATTCTTTTGTACTCAATTATTGTACTCAAACTTAGGTACATAACTGACTCGATTAGGGCGTAAAAGCACACGGTTTCCTACATATGTATCAAATTCTAGAGTAGGTCTACTAACTCCAATGGCCTACACAAGGCTGTGGTTATTTTCAGAATCAGACCTTAATTTAGAAGAAGATTGTACCAGTTTTATACATGAATGGCCTAAAGCACTTTCTTTCAGCTTTAAAAACCACCAAACTTGAACTTTTAAGGATAACAGAAGCCCAGAATACAAACATTTCAGAAATGTTATTAGTAGACAAAAACTCGATGTTGTACCGGAGAGTGTTTGCAACCTTATTTGTAAGAAGCGCTGTAACAAATAGCTAAGTAGGTTACTGTCTTGTAGCTATACTGTAGTCAACAAAACTCAGTGGAAAATAGTGCGTGTCTGTAAGAGGTCAAGCACAGTGGTCAGAACAGCCTTTGTTTCCTGGGGTACAGGCAATGTAAATGTCATACTAAGTTGTTTAGGGGTGTGTGGACAGAAGGGAAGGTGAACAGGAGAGGACAATTCTCTGTCTTGCCCCACCACAGGTGTGGTGACTTCTGACCTACAGATATTAAGTATTTTTGCTATTTTTTATAGTCCATACATGGTTATGTCCAAAGAGGGAACACAAGTCTGCTTTTGTTTCAAGTATCTCTGTTAGATTTAAGAGGAAAAAATCTGTACAGACAGGGATTATTAATATCTTATTAAAATGTCATGGTCTCCATTTTATTTTTAAAAGTTAATATAGTTTAAAAATATAATACAGACAATAGTTTAGAAGCATGGAAATCAGTCCTTTACAAATGTCCCCCAAGTTCTGCACCAGGGACATAAATGTCATTGAGGACACCTCTGGTTTCAAAGTCCTCACAACACCACCTCACACTATTTTACAGGCTTCACAAAAGTATTAGGAAGAATTCTGAATAGGTATTAGGAAGAATTCCGAATCATGCTTTCAAAACAGAAAAGTATGAGATTGTTTAAAATAAAAACTGCATTTCTCACATCTCCATTGCCAAATGGGTTAGCTCAAAGTAGCTTGTTGCTATGGGAGCTATTCCAATCCATAAAGTTACCCTCACCTCTCAAACGAGAGAGTAAGATTTTTCAGTCAGTCAAATAATTGAAATAGTTGAACATCCATTAGTGATTAGGAATACAAATCTTCAAATAATTTCAAATCCATTCCTCTAATCACCTATTATGATTTCTGAGGTAATGTACTCGACTCCTGGTATCACTGAAGCTACTGGAAAACAACAACACAGGATTCCACTTGAATCTGGAATTAATCTCTCATTTTATTGTGTTTTAGTTTAGATATCTGGAAGCTTTCTGTGGCTTAGTAAACAGTGAGTTAGTAAACTAGAACTAAAACTACTTCCTTTGGTTTGGAAAAAAACCCCAGGAACAATTCAAAGAGCCATAAAAAATGTGTTTGTCACATTAGGGACGATCCAACCTTTTAACAGAGGCATCTGTATGCTAGAATTTCTGTTACTCTTAAGTAATGAGATTATCATGCATCCTATTTAGATTTAGTGGTGGTGGTGGATTTGTGAAGTCTACATGTAAAGGAAATCATAGTGCAATCAGTTACATCAGGGATAGTCACTATGAGACATATATGATCTCCTTCAAGGAACAATGGTACAGTGATGAAGTTTCATACTATTATTAGGTGCCAAAACCACAAGGTGGTATTACCTGTTCCTACTCACAGCAGTACTTTCTTTCCTTTTCCTCTATTACAATCTCCAAATAATCATACTATCCCATCACTTCTTTATTTAGTTGCTGGTGGCAACTCTTTCAAGTTGCCCCCAGCTATAGGTACTACAAAGGAGAGACTACAAAGATAATCACAGTCAGATCCTAGCCTCCAAAGTTAAATATATCATCAGCGTGTTTATCCTTCCCTGTTTGGGGATCAAACCTATAGCTAGCACTGTCTCAATTATACAAACTTGTCTCACAAATGGTAGTATCATGTGTGCTGACAGTCCAATAAATATAGCTCATCTGTACCATGAAAATGAAGAACATGATTTCTTCAGTTTTATCAATCAATTAAGATAATTGCTTACAAGTAATGGGTAATTTTTCACTATGAATGTATAAGCAGCTAGTATGCACTCTGCAGTTGGCAATTCTACACCTTTACTGTATCTAGAAAAGTCCAAAATATTTATTGTGAGATCATATAAAAACCCACAGAATATATTTTTAAAATCCTGTGTTCAAATAGACAACTAAAAATTAGTAAAACATTTATTATTAAAAACAAACAAACAAACAAACAAACAAACAAACTTCCTAGATCTCAGCTAGAGACGCAAATGAATCATTAAAAATTCTCTAACAGGTTTAGTGATGCCTTTTAGCAATATAAACACTTCTGGAATTTTGCAAAGACCCTGTGAAGGAAAGGTCAGCAAGTTGAAATACAGAATACATGACATAATATGAACATACCTTTTGTGGCTACCCTGACGCAGTCGATTTTGGTTTCCTGTGTCAAATAAAGAGGAAAAAGGTCACATCTTGTGTTTCTAAGCAAACAAATTCATCCATGATTCTATTCTTAAAAGTACTGATAAAATGCCAGGGAAGTGTTCAATTAATGTGCCTCATTACATATTTAACTGCTTATTAAGCAACTCCAATGTGTTTTCATAATATGGACAAACACTGCTTGGGTGTGGTACATAAACATTTCACTTAAAATTCCTCTAGAAGTAGAAAATATCTGAGATCTTCACAAGAGCACAGGCAAGTGTTAAGCTTTTTTATTTTGGCAATATAATGACCTTGGGAGATTTTTCTTTTTCTTACAGATAGTATAGTTTGAGGCATCATGCTAGACAATTTTAGAAAGAAAAAATAATCAATGGTGTTTCAAATTTCTGCACTGCCAGTGCACTGTGAAAGAGGGACCATTATGGTTTCTGGCAGAAAACATTTCCAGGCTGTCAGCACAGACAGCCAAAGCTTATCAAGAATTGAAGGGCACTGGGTAGGTCTGTCCAGGAAATGAAAAACAATTCCAGGAAGAATTAGTCCGATGAAACATGATCTGTGAAGACCTTTTTACACACTTTTCATTTCAGTTCCATCTACTTATTTTTCTTTTACTGTTTGCAGAAAAGGGGAAAAAAAGTGGTTTCTAATTCAGTCAGGGCAACCAAATGAGAAAATAGGAGTTCAAGATGTTACAAACTAAGGTAATGGGACTGGACAGGCCAAGATAGATGTGCTAAAATCTTCAATCAAGTTTGTCTTAAACTTAACAAAAGAAATCACAACACTCTTCAAAGCAAGAGAACAAAACCAACAACAACAACAAAAAAAAAGAATGAAAAAAAGCCAGGCAAACACACTCATTCAACAGCTTTCAGATAATAAGACAGAATGGTAATGCACTACTTTGCCCACTCATTATTAACAAAATGTGATTTCTTCCCCTCTTCTTTCCTGTAAACCTTTAATCATTAAGCAATATTGTGTTAGGAAAACTGTTATTTTTTTTAAACTCAGTGTGCTAAATTTCACGGTTACTTCATTTTCTCATTAGCAACTAAATTAGGCATCTTGCCAGTTGGTGCCAATCATCTATTTACACACAAATACTGTATAAAACCACACCTGTCATAAGACTTACCCCATTGGCTCTGCTAGCAGCTTGAAAATAGATGCTGTAGCTCTTATGAGGAAGAAGAGGAGTGTTCCAGAAACCACTGTAGGTTTTGTTATCACCAATAGTAAAAGGCTGAGCAGCTTGTAAACCACTGGCTGGAAACTCTGCAGCAAAGTAGTACTGGGAATTCAAAAGTGAGGCATTCTGGAAATGAATGGGCACTGGGTAGCACTTCAGGATTTCAGTTGTCTTTTTGGTCCTCCGTGGGCGTTCTTCTTCAACAACTATTTGATAGACACTAAGGGTGCAGAAAGGAAAGAACAAAAAAACCACACGGGTTATTTTAAGATTTGGGCAGTCAACTCATTCTGAAACCATAATAGCAAACTATTATTATGGAAAAAAAACCCCAACCTGTTAAACACAAAGGACATGGGAAGAAAGTCTAATTTTGATATTCAGGTGTATACATACATGGAATAGATTAGCGTTTTCAAACAAATTCTAATTTTTGTTGGAAAAACAAAATTAGCCACAGCTTTTCATAAAGCAAATGCACAGAACATTTTCTTGTTCGAATTCTTGTACAGAAAAAGCTTTCTTGATTAGTGTTAAAATGTAGAATTAAGTATTATTTTGTTCACAGAAGTGAGTATAAAGCTAAAGATTCAATTCTCTAACCTGTCTTATCTCTAACAACATCTTGTCTACATGAAATGAAATGAGTAGTAAGATAAAAATGAAGAAATAAATTATAAGGACACTGGAAATAGTATTTGCTTAACTGTTGACATTACAGCTATTTATAAAATCACACAGAGTAAATTACAGTCTTTTAAAATTTTGGTGGCGTATTGACTGTTACTGCACAAGAATTAAAACATTTTTTTGATGGAAGTTATTCTCACTCAGCAGAGCACTTTTACACCTTAGAGATAACCGTATTTATAAGTGTTTCTATATTCTGCAAAGCAGTTCATTCTACACTTGGATTCTTTGCTGTACTGTGATCTACAGGGAACAGTCCATCCCTCTACACTGTAAAGGTGCTATGGACATTCAAGCAGGAACAAAGAAATTGTGATTTCTGCTGTATATGCAGAGTAATCATTATACCCTTGCAGTTGTTGTAAAAGCCTGAGTCAGTGCTTTCAAATTTGTGAAGTGGGAAGTCCACGTCTCTAAAGAGGACTGGCTTGCAAGTTTATTGCTTCACTGGGGACCAGTGATTCTTAATCATTACTTGTCTCCTGGAATCTTGAATCCCAGTAAGCAAGTCAGTTAAAGTGGCAATGTGTCCACATTTCTGCACATCATCTACATCTAATAACAATATATGATCTTTCAAGTTGACAATTCATAAAAAGTAGCAATCTCTGGGTAGGATACGTCTCTTAAAGATGAAATACCCATATAGTCTTCTGACATGTTTTTCCCATTGTCATCTGTAGGTAGATGATTATGTTTACAGAGTACTCTGCCCAAAGTACAGGGACACTTGGGCTGGGCCTCTGCAGGTCTCAGTCTGGACCCAGCAGGGCTTATTGGATTAGTCACATCACCGCACAGCTATGGATATTTCCTTTCTGAAAGCAAATCTGGTTTAGAAATAAAAAAGGTGACTTTGTGCAGTTACCAAGCCAGTTCATAGCCAGTGAGCTCCTACACCTGCTGGGGCTCTGGCTAGACTCAAGATGCTTTGAGCAATGGCATAGAGCTCTCTAGCTCTTTCACTCTCTGGAGCCTTACTGACTCAGTGCACAACCAGACTAACATACTGCTTCTACACACATTTAGATAATGCTGTGTGCTTGAATGATGCTGTGTCAATGGAACTGTTCAAGGTCAGGTTGGATGGGGCTTTGAGGAACCTGGTCTAGTGAAAGATGTCCATGCCCACCTCAGGGGAGGATGGACTGGATGATCTTTAAAGGTCCCTTCCAACCTAAACTATTCTATGACTTCACAACTCTATGTCAGCATGATGCTAGGAGACTTCATAGCTGAATATTACCAAGAAGCAGAATGCCAGTTCTCTTGGCCGTCTTACTGGTTTTTTACCAGATCATGTGCAACAGACCCTGTTCACTATGTTTTTAAGATCTGTTTTTTTCCAGTGGGAGATGCTGCACTTCCTGTGTTCATAAAAAATGCCCATTAAGTTAACACCGAGAATGCTTAACACTTCTTCTTCTGTCTCATTCAGATTTTCACCGCAGTGGAATTTTAGTTTTATGTTAAGACACTTAAATTTAAGCGTCTTCATGAAGATGTCTATACATCTGTAAACTCACATTACAGTCACTGAAGATGTACTCAGTACAGGCAACAGATCTCGAAGATGTGACCATCAAGCAGGTGTCTACTTTTGGGTCAACTTAATTGCTTTCTAGGCCCCACTGACTATGATAGCTAAATACTCAGCTCACATGTAGACTTCTACAAGTGGACGGCTAAATTTAAATGTTTTAATCTGATGCTGAACAACATGCAGAAATCTAACCACGTATGAGTTTGGTACAGCCAGAGAGACAATGTCTTGAGGGTCCACTTGAAGGCCACTGTGTGTACACTTTGCAGCTCTGTGCAACCAAGTCTACACTTCTAGCAGAAAGACTTGTATTAGTTGATTAATTCCAAGCTGAGTAGTATATGAAGGTCAATACATGATAACCTTTCTTTGATCCTATGACAATTGAACTGTAAAAACTAACCATGAAATATTTACATTACAATCATATTTCTTCTCTTCCAAATCAATGTTTGACATGATTTTAGCAGTTAATTTTCTAGAATGAAACACAGTTTCTTAGAACTGGGATTCCAAGCTGCTTTCAAGACAGTGTGTTGCCTTCCCTAACTACTAATTTACAGTGAACTACAATAAATACTGTTCAAGAATTTAAATAGAGTATTGGAAAAGAAGTAGAAGGTGATGTAAACATCTATTCTTGCAAGGTAGTGAAGCTTGGTACACTTGCCTAATACCACAGCAAAGATAAGAATCCTTCAGTTTCACTAAAGAATGATGGATAGCAAACGAAGTTATTTGGCTGTTGCCTTCAGGAGAGAAGTGCTACCTTTTCTATCACAGTAGGACTGAAATATAAGAGGGACGTCAGACCAGACAAGGTAATATGACCTGAATCAGCTGAACTGGGGATTCTTTTCATTTTTCACTCGCTGATTAAAGCTAAAGATCGTAGATATTTTAGAAACAAATCTGTCATTAAAATGATCCTTTTCCTCTGGCAAATTCATGTTAGTTATACTACGAGCACTACTCCTTGTATATTATATTTTAAATACATGACATCTATTCATCTTCAGATACATTAAAGTAAGAACTAAGTTGACTGGAGCAATTTCAAACTCAAAATGTCTTTTCATCCTTACTCCACAAGACAAATTAGATTTGCAAGCATCTAGACCTCAAATCTATTTGCTCTTTAATAATTTAAGCACTGAAAGGTCAAGCAGCTCTTTTCTGTTCCCCTTTATCAAAGTCCAAGTGCTAATGAAAAATAACTAAATCCTATCTGCTGCCCAACTTCCACTCACTGCTGTTTCTCTGATGTAAATTAACACGTTATAAGCACCTGGATCAACGGAAACTGACAGAACTTTATGAGTGATACGTTTTACATTTGTACAAATGAAATCATGTTCCTAATGAGTTTTAAAGAATTACTCCAATTACAATTATAATCCAAAAGCTCCCTCTAATTCTTGCTGTTAAAATAATTTTCTTTCATACATAACATCTGAACTGCCTATTCTGAAAAAGGTTCAAGCTTAGTGAATTGAGCTAGCACTGCACCAGGACTTTATCATTCCTCTTAGGTATTAGTCATATTTCCTGCTTGTTTGAAGTTGCATTATTCCTTTTCCACACCTCTACATTTCAGAGCATAAAGTCTTCCTATCTGTAATCCAAAAAATAAAATCTACACTACAGTAAAAGGTGCCAAAAGCATTTTGGCTATTGGTAGCATGTAGATTGATCTTTCTGAAGGAAAGAAATGTAATTTAAGCTTAATTCACATTACACAGTTCTACTATAGAATTCAAATTCCTTGGAAATTGAACACAAAATCTACTTTTATATGGAATGAAACTTGCTGTTGCATCAAGAAAGGAACACGTGGGAGTTATTTTTAAATTAGGATTCAAATATTTCAAATTTGGGGATTAAAAAATGTGTCTGGGGAAAAAAAAAAAAGATGTAATTTTTAAGCTACTTTTTATATTAACAATTCCAAAATAGTTCCAACTTTATATGATTGTGCAGAGATACTGATCTGAACATAATAAGGACTCCAATTTTTGTTAAAAATTAGACATATCAGGCTTCTCTGCTATTTACTGAAATTGGGTTGCTTAAATTAAAATAGTCTGTCAATGTCTGCTAAATATACCAATTTTTTTCAGAGTTGGAAAAAAGAAAGAAAACATGTTAACACAGTAATCAAAGATGCTAAGAATATTTAGAAAAATGAATCAGACAATTCAAATAATTCAAATGAAGACGTTAAGTATATATCTATTCTTAAGTACATGAAATGATGGATTTTAGTAACTTGCTGAATCGCCATGATTCCACATTATTGGAATGCAGTAAAACAGATTTTAATTAATCAAAGTTTCATTCAAAGTGACAAAATAATTTTCCAAGAAGGGCCTCTTGGACACAAGCATGGACTTCAAGATTTTTAATACAGAAGTCCTTAACATGTACAAGCTACGTATTCATCAACTGAAACTTATGAATTCATAATTACTCTTCCACTACAAGTAATTACAAATCAAAAACAAAGGGAAAACAAGCTTGACTACATCATTATTGAAATGTCAGCTCTATTTTTTCTCTCTTAAACAGTCTTGATGCTTCACCTAACCGAAAGCATAAAGAATTTTTAGAAATTTATTTTACGGAAGATAGCCTAAGGACCTGAATCTAGATTAAGAAGATATGAATGTATTTAGTAGTTGTAATACAACTGTTGTGTGATCCTAAGCAAGCCAGTTAAATATTTTGTGCCTCAGTTCTTCATCTGTAAAATGAGAACAGGAAATATTCTCACACCCTCTGGCCTGCTTCAGCTGTTCAAAACTAAAACCTCTTCAAGACCTTCTTTTTTATTATCCTTGAAAAAATAGGTGTTTTTTTTTTCCCTAGGAAATATACAAAGCCTGCAAAGCTGTTAAGCTTCACTAGCACTGTCCTGATCAGCTATGTAAAATGTTAGGCTATCATTGCAGACTGTTATGGTGACATTGTAGAGTCTAATTTGAAGT